CAATAAAAACAGAGAGAGTTTTCCACTATGAAAAAAATGAAGTAGTTTTACGATACCCTCAAGTCCTTAATTAGGACTACATTGTGTATCATTTACCTTGCTTTAGAATCCCCAACTATATCCCATATAAATAAATCCCAAATAGTCCCAAACCTATAGGAAAAGGTTTTCTCAATCCTAAAAGGACAATATTTTTCTTTTCCAAATCTACTAGGACAAAGAGTCTCCTAAACTAAAAGGAATTATAGTTTCCTAAAAGCTTAAGTCATTTGTCGCCCCTTAAAGTTGTCCGCGTAATTCACTTAGGCACCTCAATTATGATTAATACCTATTGAACACTTTTATCTATCCGAAACTTGTTCCTATTAGACTCTTTTCAATAATCAGTTAAAAAAATAAAGTGTGTGTTATACACTTGCTATGATGTGACAAAAATGACTAATTAAAAGATGACATGTGTCAACTGCCAACAACTATAGATTTTATTTTATGTTAAAAAAGTGAAAAAATATTTATATCTATTTTTAATTAAAAAATAAATGAAATGACAACACATTTTACTCAATCCCACCCTACCCAACCCCCTTTCTTCTTCATCTGCTTCCCATCGAATTTTTTTCTCAAACCACAAAAATCAACTTCACTGCGAATTACTTGTAGATTCAGTATTTTTAAAAAAATATTTTTTATTCTAATACGTGAGAGAGAAAGATATTCAAAGAGACTTATATAATAGTGATGAAGAAGTTTGTCAATGGTTACTCATCCCGAAATTGATTGCAAAGAAACATCGAGAGGGCCCAAATGAATTATATCGAAAATTATTTTTCAATCTTAATACGTGATAGAGAAAGATATTCGAAGAGTTTGTAAAAGAATGATGAAGAAAGGAAGTTTGTCAATGGTTAATTACCTTGAAATCGATTGCAAGGAAAAATCAAGAGGACCTAAATTAATTTTATCGAATTATCTGATATTATTTTTGATAAGTTTAGTGAGTTTACCATTTAATTTGAATGGAGATATTTATTCGAAGGTGGCCGGAAATGAAAATGGAACGTTGACTAACTTTTTTTATCCAAATGTTCAAAAATTTGCTTTCTTTATTTTTTTTTGCAAATTCAATTAGATGATTCAGTTTTTATTTTTTAAAGGGAAAATGGTCTGAAAAATACTCCAACTTTTGCTGAAATTGTTGTTACAATACCAAACTTTATGGAGGACCTTTTTTACCCCTGCACTATTTAATAGTGTATTTTAAAGGTATGTATGTGTCACGTGGACACACTACTATTTATAATGATGCAATATTTTATCGATGTCCACGTGGGCACATATATACCTTTAAAATACATTATTAAATAGTGCAGAGGGGTAAAAAGGTCCTTTCCAAAGTTCGGTCTCGTAACAACAATTTCGGTCAAAGTTCGGATATATTTCAGACTTTTTTCCCCTTTCTAAATAAATATTGAAAAGAAATAGAATAGAAAAAACAAAATAAAAAATGGAGATTCTTCGATTATGTTTAAAAATCTAAAGCTGGAAACTACAAGAAAATAGCGGGAACAAAAAGTGAAAAACTAAAAGGCTCTAAAAAATTCTCTCTCTATAGTAATAACCTAAAACCCCAAAATCCATTAATAAAAGTAGTAGATTTTTCTCTCTCTCCAGCACTATGCAAAAATCGCTGATGTATCCTTAATTTTTTCTCTCTTGCTCTATGAAACAAGCTTTGAAGTCCCTAAATCTTGAAAGTTGAAGGCATTATTGGCAGAAAAGTTTCCTAATCTTGATGTTTGAAGGCATTTTTTGGAGAAAAACATTTCATCTAGCTATGTAGATCTAAAGTAAGTTTATTCCTCCAGATTCATCTCCCTCTTCTTCTTTTTTTGGTATAATCTTCCATTTTTCTTTCTGATGATTGAATATTATGTGATTTGGCTCTTATAGATACTCAATGTTATTTTGTTAGGACCGAAAATGATAATTTTGTAGGTAAGGCTGGGGGTTGAGGGTCAAAGAGGAGATATTTGAGAGTTTATTTAAGGATTTTCTCTGTTAGGGTTGCATAATTGCTAGGGCTGCCAAGAAATTTTGGTAAGGCTGACATTGAAATTATTTTTTCTATCGGGTGATGAATTAGTTGAATATTTTTACCATTAGTGTCTTTAATTTCAGTACCCAGTTTGTGAGCTTTGATTTTGAATGGTTCTTTTTATTGTATTATCAGTGTATTTTCTGACACTAAAAAGATTAGACGAGAAAGAAAAAAACTTGTTAATGAGATATTTTAAAGTATCTGATTTTTTTTGTCTATGAGTAGCTTGAGGATTAGACGAGAAAGAAACAAAATTGTTA